TATAAATGATTCACTCAATGGTATCTCAAGCAACATACATTTATTTGCTGATGATACCTCCCTTTACATAACAATAGGTAACCCCGCCGATGCAACAAGAATATTGAACAATGATGTTGCTAATCTGTCTGAGTGGACAAATGAATGGCAGGTATTGTTTAGTCCTGAAAAATCAGTGGCTATGTTATTCACTAAAAAAGTAATACCTAGTTCTAAAACAGATTTATTGATGAATGACGTAAAAATTAAAGAAGTCGACTATTATAAATATTTAGGGCTATGGTTTCAAAGCAATGGTAAATGGGATACGGAAATCGAATATCTAGTCAAACAAACTATAATAAACAGCTTACGGAGTCTTAAATATAAACTAAACAGAAACTGCTTAGAAAGACTGTATAAATCATTCATCCTTCCTATCTTTGACTACTGCGACTTCATTTGGGATAATTGCACCCAAGAACAAGGACTAATCCTAGAAAAATTACACCTTGATGCTCTTCGTACCATACGTGGGGCCGTCAGGGGTACCAGTCATTAAACAATATACGAAGGTACTGGTATACCATCTCTCTTTCAAAGAAGAAAGAATCATAAGTTGTGTATTTTTTATAAGATGGTATATGGCTTAACACCAGAGTACTTAACAAGATTAGCTTCACAAAACGTGGGCCACAAAACTCACTATTGCCTTCATAATGCCAGAGATATTCAGGCAGAAAAGAACTAGACTAGTACAACACTCTAAACCTTTTCTTCCATCAGTCACACAAGCCTGGAATAAGCTCGACGAATCTGTTAAATCGGCAGAATCATTGTCTAAATTGAAATTATATCTGACTAATTACACTCTTACTCCCAGAGCTATTAAAGTCTTTAACTTTGGCAAGCGCTTTTTCCAAATCATAATGTCCAAGCTGAGACTAGAATGTAGCGATTTAAACTTACACCAATTCGAAAGACATATAAAAGAAAATAGTTCATGCTAATGTGGCTTTTAAACAAAAGATATCTCACACTTCTTTATTTTTTGTCCGCTATATAGTCATATCAAACATAACCAGATCTTCTACGGGGAATATACCGCAATGGATTTTCTGTTGACGATATACTCTATGGCAAAGATAACTTATCCAATACTGAAAAAGAATTACTTCTTAAAACCATTTATCATTTCATAATTAACTCCAAACGTTTTGTTAATAACACATAAAATACAATAAGTACTAACTCGTTAGTTCGTTGTATGAATTTTATATCCTTTTTGCAATCTCTTAATTTTGTTTAATTCGATTAAGTCGTTTCCTCTCGGGAGGGGCATTAATATAGGCCTTGTTCGGCCTGTTTGCCAATCCGTTTTGTTCGTTTTGTATTGTCTTTCTAATGTATTGTCTTTATTTTGAATAAATACTGTTTAAACCGGATGGATTGACCTAGTTTGAAACTGGGAGGGAAAAACCCGGGTGAAACGACTTGGGGTGAGACAACCGGGAACCATTGCTAGTATGGCAATGGTAAGAGAATCAATTATTTTTTATATCGACAATTCACAAACTTCAGCAATTGAAACATTCACTTGGATGAATTATATGGATTGAAAAGGATCAACAACATACATGAATACGTACTATCAGAACGAACGACGTTCACTCCGTGGTTGGCCAGGACGATAAGGAAAATGCACATAGTGGCTTCTGCTATCATACCCGTGGCGTCAACCCAACGTTGTTCTTCGGCAATGTCCCTTACAGCAGTCCAATACCAAAACAAATACACATATCACTGACATGACACTAATGCATCATAAACCGCGCTGTTTCAGCACAGCATACGAGAGCATCGATCAGGGATTTCCACAGGCTGAACCACGGTGCTGACATATAGCCATGGAAAATATCACTGAAATCAATATTGAACAGTTTACTTTCAGGGCATGTCATCAAGTCCAGATCATGTTTTGGCAGCACAGTATCTGCAAAGACCAATAACGTGAAAACCATTGGTTTCATTTAAAATGCAATCGGAAATATATTTTTTGTTCTCAGTAGTACCAGAGTTTGTGTAAACAACGTATATGTATTAGAATGCTCACCTATTAGGAATGTTCACCTACGAGGTAAATTTGATTCATCACTACTGCTCTTCAGGTTGGCTATTGCATTAACTGAAATTAAAAGCCACACAAACAGTGCAAACGTTGTATAAATTCAAGGTAATGGGCGCGAATGTATGTATGCCATGCTTGATTAACGCATCCATAAATCACAGAAGTAGTCTCCCCACTTCTTTTTGCCAGTTTCAACCCTTGACGAATTAGGTTGGAAGTTTGGACCAACGATTCTAGGTATATTCTAGTCAAAATTACTTAACGATAACGACATCCGGTTTGTTAACTGCCCTGCAGTTTTCTGTCGATTGTGGGATTTTCAAAGCAGTAATCAATAGTTTTAGGTTTTACGCACCAGTTCGACTAATATAGTAAGTTAACACCCTCGCTGTTGAAGATGCACATAGGTATCGTACAGGCAGTCCAGGAATCGATATCTCATGGATTTTAGTTGACATGCGATCACCCGGAATCAAAACCTTGAAGAATCTCACAACCCGACCCATCTCGTGGTCTACCATTAACACTGAACTATTATAGTGCTCCGTCAATACAATAGTGGGAACAAAATACGTTCCTCCATCAGTCGTGTATACAAAGGACCGCACTGTGGTATAGCATGCATGGTTCCAGCGAGCAGACTGCTCACTTTACACCGCCTGCTTACATTTCTTGCTTGACATCGTGTGTTTCAAACATGTGTAATAGCCTTGTGCTCTCTGCTCAACCAATGACTACTCATTCTACAGAGCACACACCAACACCGTTTTATTTCACGCTTGACATCGCGTATAATATGTTAATGCTTCGTCGTCCTGTGGTATTGTGTCACAACAAGTTCCAGACACTACAATAAGCTGTAATACGTTTCCTTACCAATGAGGTATGCAAAGTAAAAGAAATCCATGATCGCATGTGTAAAGTGATGGGTAAGGATGCTCCTGATTATCCCATAGTCTGCCGTTGGTCTCTACAGTTTTATAAGGGGTAGGGAGTCCATAGACGATGACCCAAGCCTTCAGATGACACCCAACCAGAAACCATAGCCGCTATAGAAAGAAGAATCTTGTCTCTGAACTTTCTGAGGAATTCCAAATATCAGTTGGAACTGTTGAAACAGAGAGAGAGTCTTTATTTCCTCCAGGCGACCATCCGAAGATCAAGCATATTAAATACATGTAAATACAAGAAAGGAGGGAGTGTCACAACATTGATATAGATGAATATACAATTATTTAATCAAGATGTATACCTAAAGCTACAATTTACATAAGAACATACATTTACATGTGTATACAATTAATTTATACAAGAAACTTCCGAAAGTAGACATACATCATTATACATCTGCAGAGATCAATTAGTGTAACATTGTAGGAGATATCGTCATATTCGGTAAATGTATAAAGAAAATCGTAAAATGATTGTTTCCCATGTCCCTTGATCAACATTATCATTAAAAACAGTTTCACCCATCTGTGTTCTTCATAGCTATGTACAGATGTATTTACAATTTTTCGCCATTCGTACTTTGGACGGAATACACCTTCTTTAATATATTTTTCTATGTGTACATGTAAATTATAATTGTAGAGTACTGATAGTAGATCATCACAGATTGCTACACAAAATATGTTTTGGGCAAAATTATTACAAGAGATTTTGCATAGACATCCCAGAAAGATGAGTTTACATTTGTCGATTTAACCAATAAATATACACAATCCCAAATTTGCAATAGTAGAGTCTGTTGATGATCGTTTATCAAGCCCCTGCACAATACAAGCAAAATATCGTTGTGTAAGTTCAAGTGCATCGGCTTGTTGACCTCTAATGTAAGGTAATATTTCACAGCCATAGAGACACCTCCATATGTTGCTGATTCAGATCGGGGGATATGCGTATCACCAAGGCGGTATTGGAAGTTAGAATAAGTGCATTTTCTTTTGCTGAAGACAACTCTAGTACTTTTAGTTGGGTTGTAGGTCAAACGCCATTTAGAGGCATATGACGACACGATGTCTAATGATGACAGCAAGCAAGACTGCAGGAACATGCATACCGTATACACAAATACCTCAACTGGCTTCTCTGAGAGAAGTGATAAGGTCATTTATAAAAATAAGGAAGAACCAAGCTGAAATAACTCTTCCTTGGCCAACACCTTGCTTGACACAATATGTGTCTGATCTCTCACCCTGGTAACAAACAAAGGATTCGCTATGAGTAAAACAGTGATGTAAAAGATTCCAGGTATTACCGCTTATACCAATTTCATGTAATTTATAAAATAATCCACCGTGCCAGATTCTGTCAAAGTCTTTTTCGTTGTCAAGAAAGGCAGAGAAAACAGCAGAATTTTTATGCATATAAAATTGAATGCTTTCCATGAGTGGGAATACAGACATAATGGCTCCATGTTGGCGTCGAAAGCCAAATTGTAACACATCCGTAAAATCTGGCCTTGCTTTTGTTAATTTACGTTCGATTCCTTTAAGAAGGAGCTTTTCAAAAAGCTTACCGAGACAAGAGGTTAGGGTGATACCTCTGTAATTTCGTGGGTCACTTTTGTCTTTTTTGCCTTGATATATTGGTATAACCATACCGAGTCTATATTCCTTTGGGGCATATTGAGAGGTAGTGATAGCATTGAATAGTTTGCATAGGTGGGTGGTGATCAAGTCACCTGCAAAGATGATGTGTTCATTTGTAATTCTATCAGCGCCAGGTGATTTGTTTTTACTCAGAGATGTAATGGCATCTTTAACTTCACTGAAAGAGAAATCCTTTTCCAGTTCTTCATCATAGTCGTGATGGGATTTTTTTTAATATCAGTAACATGTTTAGATACATGATCTTTAAAGTCAGAATCAAATTTCTCTGACTCATGTGGTTGAGCTAAATCTGAGAAATATTTCCCCAAATTCTACAAATGTCAAGGGGTGTTGATCCACTCTCTTCCACATAGGTAAGAACAGGGACATAAGTAACAGTTGCTCTCTGTTTTCGAATATTTTTATAAAAAGAGTTCACATCCATTTCAGCTGAAACTTCGATTTCTTTCAGCATTTCAGTTCTATTATCCCTTTTGGATTGTCGGAAATGTCGCCGAAAGTTACGTTTTCCCTCTTTATAGGCTGAGCGTGATTGAGATGCTGGATCACGAGGTTTATCATTGTTTACCCATTCGCGTCGAGCAACGCGCATGCGGTAGTGAGCATCATTTAACCCGTCTGATTTCCAAAATGGTTTTAAGTATGGCTTATAACTGCTATGTGGTATGGTGTTGACACCTGCATGTAATAAGGCAGTGGTAATCATATCATTATACGTATCAATGGTGTTTTCCTGATGTTCGTCTACAAGGGAAGGATAATGATATTGTATGTAATATTCAATTAAATATTGATAGGAGCCTATATCATTTTCACTGGCTCTTCCTTATTTAGGAATACCGTAGTAATCTCCACTGCTGTACTGTTTAACTACGGGCAAGTCAATGGATATTAGGCAGGGTAGGTGGTCTGAAACACTGTAAGGACACGCATCAATGATTTGAACATCACTAATATAATCAGGCTTATACATGAGGAGACTAGTATATAGTCAATAATGCTGTGATGTAAGTTTTCTTTTGATCATTAGCTATATGTTGGTATGTAAAAACTGGTTGTGCCTAAAGCGTTTACGAGATTTCTCTCCGATAGCGCACTTTTTAAAATCGCCTCTCTTTGCGATAGAAGAGATTTACATACATCAGAGTTAAGGTCACCAAGTATAATTGTTGTTCTTATCTCAGATAAGTAATCAAACACATCAAATATTTCATTGAGAGCATTGCAGTAGGTAAACGGCAACCAATTACATAAACATCACAGTAGCCTTGTCTGATAAGTTTAACCGCTATTGCGTAATCCGAGTGGACTGTTAAGAGATTTCGCCCTCCACGGAGAGTGGGCATTTACTAAAATAGCAAGTCCGTGAGATCCACGAGAACACGTTGAGTTAGCTTTCATACAGTTATATGTTATTAGATTGACATTACTAAGACAGTGTAGATGATGTAACTTGTCTAGGGGAAGCCAGTGTTCTTGTAAGGCCACTACATTCTGAGGTATTATCTGATTGATGTATTCATTACCATAGAGAACACCGCGCACATTCCATGTTAATAACGAGAGAGTCATGATCACAGCTGTAAAGTTCATAACTAGTTGATTGTTGCTATTGGAGAGTTTGAACATGAAAGTTAATAGCTGTTGTGGTTGTCACCACTGTCACTTTATGTCCTCTTCCTGGTTATATAGTCTTTGACACGGATTCCTGGGGGCCAGAAATCTCTAACACCTGCCACATAATCTTCATAGTCATCAAGGTCAAGATTCACTTGCACTGTATAGGTGTCAGGGTAGTTTTTACGAAAGTTTTTCTTCATCAGTCTCACAAACGTTACTCGAACATTCTGATCACGGGTATAGTCACAGATTCTTTCGCACTGACATTATATAACACAAGACGTTTCGTTTTCACCCTGGGAACACCTTGTAGTGCGTGATACTGCTTAGAGAGGGACCTGATAGGATGAGCGATATCATTCTTTACCTTGTCAGTGTTGTTCGACCTCCGTGAAGAGGGGTGAGTGACTTTCTGCCAGGAGTTGGTGTCGTCTACTTGCTGAGATCGCAGGGAAGGAAAGTCGTTGTGGAAGTCGTTGTAACTGGGGTCGATGTCAGCGTATTTGGATGCAGTGTCTGTGCTGGTGTCGGATGTATTGTTGGTCTCTCCATGTTGTCCTGTTACCACTGTGATGTGGCGTGGTTCGCTGGATTCTGTCGACGTTGTCTCTCTCCCCGGCGTTGTTGTCTGTGACGGTGACGTTGACACATCATGCGTTATCTTTCTTTGCTGTGATGGGGCTCTGGGGTTGTCATTAGATTTGTTCATATCCTTAGAAGTACTGTAAGGTTAATTTCAATTGTCCTTAGTTTCGTATCAACTGAGAAGTTTGTTTTCAGAAGTAAATTTTCCAAGTGTAGGATACGATCCCGATATGACTTGTTATGCTGATTTGACAACTTTAATTCTGCCCTTAATTCTGACCTTCTTTCTTCTGATTCGGTTAGTTTCTTACCCTTTTCTTAAATAGTTTCATGCAGGCGTCTTATATCTTCTTTAAGTTTCTTTACAAGTTTCTCAAATCTTTGCTCTAATAGTTCTTGCCCATTATTAACAACTTGCTTTAGTTGAACAATATGGCTGAGCACCAATGATATAAAGTCATTTTGCTCACCTTGAGTAGTTGACGTAGTGGAGGTAGTAGAAGTGGTGGATGATGACGTGGTGTCGGAGGTCTCGGACGTGGTGGCATGCATGTTGACGTTGGCAGCCGATGGCGTAGACGGTGGCGGTGGAGTTGAGATCGATAGATGTCGAACACTAGCTCTGCTGAGTACTTTGTTCTGGAGTACATAGTCAGTAATAGAGCCTTTAATAAAGTAAAAAAGAGATAATACACATCCAGTGCGCAATTGTAGATCACTGAAGGTGTTGCTCCCTGTGTGTTCCTGCGCCTAACAAGCGAGCCTCGAGGAAAGTTGACACGCGTGTACTTTCCATAATCATATAAACTTTCTCTTATGTCGTTTATCTCTTGGATGTTGTAATTATAGATGTCTTGGATACTATCAATGAAGCGGACTTTGTCTTTTGACCCAATCTTTCTTTTGATTTCTAAATAGATAAGGAACACACTTTATGGATGAACAACTTTTTTATTCGGAAGATGCGTCGTTTCGATGCAGATTCTTGTATCGTTGTCAAGTAAGTATGGCACAGGTAAAACACAGGGCTACATATATATACAGTAAATAATTAACAAGAACAAGAAGAAGTAAATTAGATGTACAGTAACAATGTGATGATAAGGGATTACACGTGGAAGCCAGTGACAATGGATACATTTAGAAGCCCGTGGGCTGTACAGGGCGGGAGTGATAGAACATGTTTAAACAAGTATACAAGCAGTTAGGGGTGGTTGATGAGGTCATCGTATGCCGAGGGGATGAAATAACCTTGATCTCTGTTGATCTCTTTCGAACAGTTAAATCACCCACCCTAGCCCACAGCGACTATTTCCTCTTCAGGCAAATGTAATCTGCTCTACGTCCAAGAAGACCAGGCGTGGTTCATGGGCCAATCTGCGGATTTCTATAAAGTAGGCATTAACAACTTGAAGCACACTTGAGGTGAATGATGACTATATTGAAAATTATACGTGCGACTTGGCCTATAGCTTGTATTGAACGCTCATTGTAATTCACGCTTGACATCGTGTATAACATGCTAATGCTTCGTAGGCTTGTGGCATCTGCTCTTCCAATGACAGTTCTCTTTACATCGCACACGCAGTTATATTTCTCGCTGTTCCGTAGTCATGTGGTGTCTGCTCTTCACATTGCGTCAGTGTCAGCCAGTGAATGACATAGTTCGCATAAACGGAAGGACGTACCAACCTCCGTTTTAATACGGCTTCATTTTGTTATCTTGCTAGAACTTGTCATCAACAAATGAAGGTCTTTTTGGTTCGACTAACGGGATTAGGCGACGTTAGGCTCGCTAACGTTTCACTTTGACATTTGGTCGCGATGGGATAGCCTTGAGGTTAAAGTGTTCGCCCGTCACGCCGAAGACCTATTCCCCACATGTGTACAATGTTTGAAGCCCATTTCTGGTGTCCCCCGCCGCGATATTGCTGGAATGTGGCTAAAAGCGGCGTAAGGCAAAATTCACTCATTCACTCTTTCACATTCGAAGTATCGATGTGCTCAGAAACGAAAACAATACAGCTGGAAAACTGAGTGTTGTTGAACAGCAAACAAAGCCCAGTATTACCACGCGTGATGTAGGAAACATGTATGCGTAACCTGTGAATTCTGTCGATGATTACTGAGTCGCCGTGTTTCTAGCTACCAATAATCCCCGATAAGTTCGATCTTCGTGTGTTGATATTTAAACAACGGTTCCATCAAACTTGTGAAAACAATGTATCGTGTCTGGGGCAATTTAGCTGCAAACACTCGTTTAGAATATAACAGAATGCATAAATGATTGATAAGGCAGGGTGAATGGTTTAAATGAATTTCGACACTCCTTGTTTAACAAACATAAATATTCTAGTCGTATTCAGCTATTAGCATTCGAACCCAATTTATTTTTTCTCGCAGATTCGACTCTGCCCGGCGAATTGCGGCAACACGGAGGACGAGACGGACGAAGAGATCCTCCCGCGATACAATGGCGAATGTTCATCAGGGTTTATTGGCGTCACGTATGCAGCGGCCTGTTGATATCGTGTAAGTGTATTGACTGAATCGATACAGCTACAAGTGTTTTGAATACGCAAGCAGTGACTGAAACCCTCTACACGGTGCACAGAACAGTCCTCACCTTCCACAAATGCCTCGCTGCAGTACACATCAAACGATGTAACCATGACTCCAATTTGAACAATGATAATTATATCGACATTCCACTCAGTACTTTTTAGCTTGCTCTTACGGCGTTGGTCATCAACAAGGCTACACCCCCGATGGTCAAACCCAGTGATGCTCCGAAGGTGAACGGTGCCGCAATGAGACCGGCAACAGTGAGACCAGTGGCTACAATGCCAGTTGAAGCGAATGTCAGATTGGCGATTCTGGCCATGGTATTGAAGGAATGTTTATCGAGTTCATCAGCTAAGGCAGACAGTGACACGTTTCTTCTCCTCAGTGACCTTCTTTATAAGTGAGATCAGTACCTCGGACAAAGCTTCTGTATCACTCGAAGACATCTGGACTCGTTGACTTGGATGATTACAGAGTCAGGGTTAACCTAATGCGGTCAGATACTATTTGTTTGGTTGGTTGTTGTTTAACGATCCACTCAGACCTATATTCAAGCTATGTGGCGGCGGTCTGGAAATATCGAGTCTGGACCAGACAGTTGAGTGATCAACAACATGAGCATCGATCTAAGCAATTGGGATACGGTGACACGTGTCAACCAGCCGATCATGTTAGTCGCCTCTGGGTTGCAAGCATGGGTTGCTGAAAACCAGTAGTAATCCGGATCTTCACGGGTGTGGTCAATTACTAAATAGTCCAATTACTAAATAGCCAGGTCATACAAAGTCATACATCTTAACTGAAGCGGATGCAGTACCCTAACAACTGGAGATAACCTCTGTTTTATTTTGTACACCATAATCGATTATTCATAACAAAATACTCGTCTTTGTGATTGATATCTGCCATAAATGTGTTTGGTTAGTACCTTCTCAGACACCTCAGAAAAAATCCATCAGCAAACTCGACCAGTAATCAGCCATTTCTGGAAACATCAGCACGAAACAAATTATCATTTAGGAGGCTATCAACGTCCTGTCCACCATCAGCAACAAGGCAGCGACAACAGGACAACTGGAGGATACAACCAGCAATCAACCAGGGAACATACAAGCTTCGCCCTCAGCTTAAAGCGCACTTACTACCTTGCCATTCCTTTGTCACTAATTACCTGTCACTGCTTTATTTCCAATAGTGGATTTACTCCTGGCTTCCATTTGACAATACATGTACTTTATTACACCTAGGGGAATTCTTTTTACATTTGAAAGTGATCACATAATCAAATATTAAAAATGACATAAAGGTTAAGAACACACAAAACAACACTATAGACAAACAAAGCTTGATATTACCAATCAGCGCCAGTTAACAACTGCTTTCCTTTGAAAAGTGTCCATCTTTGTTATCTTCTCACTTTTTTCTATATTGATATAGATAAACCTGTTGCCTATCTTTCATTCACTTGATAAAGGAGTAAGAATATACTCTGAACGGTCGTGTATATTCAAACCTACCCCAACCCAATTTAAGCACATTATACCACATAGAGACCATTAAAGCGATTAAGTTGTAAGAAACTGTATATAAACCAGGCTGCGGATCACGAGCAAACCTAAGTTAGACTATGGGCTGAAGCAAATGTTACGATTACTGTAGCCGGTGGTAGTGCCGTACAATTATTTTACTTTACTTCAACATCCTCAAAGAGCTTCGCCCAATAACAATCTCAGTTACTTGTTAGACACTACCTATATATATATATATTATTCTAAACTTCTACATAAATTCATGCAACAAAAATCTATCATATAGACCGATATCTTTTTAAAAGTGTAATATGAAACGATGATTAACGTTATCACAAAACACGTCATTGATGTTTCCTTGATATATGTATTTTCAGATGGACAAATCACTATTGTCAAACACACTCTCTCTAGTCCTTTTATCTCGTACCTTCATACATATACCTTGACTGCAATAGAGAACATGATGCAAAACATTTGGGTAGAATCAATGTACTGTGTACAGAAACTGAGTGAAACCAATAAACATGAATTACCAATTTCCAAATTCTTGACATCTTGACATTCTAATCGTCCAATGATACTTCAAGGAGACGGTATCCGTGTAGGAAGACTGGGAAGTAGGTGAAGTTTAGTTTCATGGGCTAAATGGTCAAACATGAAAGCATATGTCATAGAAAACAATGTGTGAATTTCTGGACTCGTTGAATAAAATCGGTGTAAAATTTGAGGGTAGACAAGAATAGCATCCAAATGGACACCAATTGTGCTCCCATCAAAATAGCACTGATAAGTTATGATATCTGGAAAGGAAAGCTGTCAGTGGTGGTTTGGGACAGTGACTCCTGAATCTCGGTGATGACGATGTATGTAGACATCCGGTTTCCTTTAAAGAATCAGAAAGGGGAGGAGTATCATCAATGGAATTTTCAGCTCAATTCAGTACTTCCTAAGACAAAACGGCAAAGACATAAACAATTTTAGTGATTATAAATTTGCTGCTGTTCGCCGAATTTTGGGCCCAAAACTGAAATCCCTTTGCGCGAAGAGGCATTGGAATTCAGAAGCGGAAAGCTGATGTGTTGACGCGTAGCCAGGAGGAAATGCTATGGGAAATGGGGATCCTTGGCGAAGACATACCGCAAAAACTGCTAGACACAGTGTTCTAGCAAAATGGCATCTGTTTCTGTTCAAGGGGTGGAGCTGAGCACCATGATGTATCGGTAGGAGAATTAGGTAATTTTGAAATCGTTATGGAAAATGGTGCGAAGTATTTGAGGTATTTAGAAGTGTGACTAAGACCACCAACGGTGGATTGAAGCACAAGAATATCCCTAGGAAGTATGTCACAGTTGGACCCAATACAGAAAATCCTCTCAGATGTCCAGTCCGGCTTCATGAGAAGTACATGTCACTCAGGAAACTATTACATTAGCCGAACTGCACTTTGTGTATTTTGGCGATATGCTGACTCTGAAAAAAAATATCTAATTATGTATCTGTTATTCATTCTTGAAGATTAGAAATTATAACATATTTCTCATTGCAACCCTTTTTCAAACCAAATAGGGTCACGGGTGACATATTCGTCTAAGACGGCGCGTTGTGCTGTGCAGAGTTGCGTCCCTTGGGCACGCAAGAAACCAATGCCCGTGGTTTCGAATCCCGGATCGCCGCGATTATGGTTCTGAGTTTGTGGGTTCCACCAAAAAGGCAAACGTGAAAGACCTGCTTCACTCCGGGCTTTGTTTCTTCATTAAGCTGACAAAAGCGTTCAACTAGTTAAATCCAACTTAATTACTCGCTCACCCACTCAAAAGATTGAAAGCTGTTTAAAATAAGAGGGTGAACAAAAATGTATCTGGTACTGTTAGATATGTTAAGCCATGTGTCCTTAAATGTTTATCGTTTGACGCAGACCAGCAAATTGTAGCGCATTCTACCTACGACCCCTCAAGTACCAGACACCGGGTGTGTGGTAATGCGCCTCACCCACTGGCAGGCAGACGCTGGGAGGGACCCTGCGAAGACTAATTGCGGGATTTGAGGGCTACGATACTAATCATTCACTGCGAGCAACCACAGCAACTCGATTGTATGAGAGCGGGCTTGGTGAGCAGCTTATTGCCGAGCGGACAGGTCATCTGCTATCCGAGGGTGAGTGGGTATTTTGAATGTGAACTTATACTGTACAAACCCACATAACCTTAAGACAGTTGCACTACATTCTCTAGCTATCTACGAACGTTTAAATTGAAAACACAAATGTACAATACAGAAAACACTATAACAGCTTAAACGTGACGGCAAATGTGCACATCGCAATGATCGCTGTCAGTGTAAGATGTCAATGTCAGTGGCGTAATCTAGGTTTTCCCAAAACAATATTTAGGATAATTCACGTTTGGTGTGATGACGTCATATATCCATCGAGGGCGTCATCGTATTTCCGGTGATGTCATACTAGTTACAACGGATTAACAGCCCAGCCGCGCTGTCATTATATTTAAACAAAATAACTGTGAAATAACTACTGTCTAGTTGCTTTGGGAGGATAAATAAACGCTAAAGATTAGCCAGCATGTTTAACAAGGACGAATATACTTCATGTTCCCATGGATAAACGATAATCAAATGAATGTTTCAGGTACAAACGAATAAGGGAAGAAATACTAAAGGTTGTCGACGATGTCGTGCAGGGTAATGTGACTAATAATTCAGACACCTATCCTCTCGCACCGAAATTTGTTGTGGTCATCATCGACGTCCGTGACGGCAAAACGTTTCCCAGCGCTTCCCAACATCGGCGCCGTTGTCTCAGAAGTCGGTGGAACAGCGGAAAGTGCCGTTGGCGACATCTCGAACGCTCCTATTAGCTTCACCTTGGAAAGGCGCGGAGATAAAGTCACATTCCAGATGTAAACATCTGCTTGTAGTGACGGAGTAGAATACAAACTGAAATAACATCGTTGTGTTTTTCATGTTCGTGGGCATTCCACCTCCCCCATTTCAACACTCAGATAGTCTTAATCGACTAACTTCTGCAAATACAATAATGTCCAAAATAATGCAGATACTTGTACTTGAACCCCCGTTTAATGGATTATTTTGCATAACGCGGGCAAATTCACAACGGCCCCCATATGTCCTTTATGAAAAGTAGTCGGTCAATAGCTGCAAACAATTGCATGGTTTAAAAAAATATTGAAGGTCTTTTGGAATCTATTGACGATCCAGTTACGTAATGAAGATTCACTGATCTCCAACTAATGAAGCCTAATTTAGGTTTAAATGAATGGATAACTGACATTAGATGATGGCATCGGGTATTCGCGAAGAAGGAAGGCATGACCTGCTCTATAGGTAGCATCCGCCACTCAAACAAATATTTGTTTCCATTTTACCTATTCCTGTAGAAGAACAAATGTTTTCCTGTGAAGTCTCACTTTTTCGCCAATGCGTTAATCCCCTTTTGGTTTCCGTCCCACAATACTGACGAACACAAATATTAAGTAGTTGACAACAATCCAGTATAGACGTAATGCAGTATTATTTCTGGTGCATTGGACAAATATGGATGGCATACAACCACGTCTGATAATAGGACATGTGGGACTTTAATAAGTAGAGAAGAAAAGTTGGTCAGGGACGGTATCTATAAAATATCTTCAATAACCTTTGCTACGTTTAAAAGGTTTAAATGTGTATGGTATTTGTTTAACATAATATGTAAATATGTTAACTGTAAAAGCGTTCTACAGTGGACAAAACCAACAGCTGTATATAAAGCCAAAAGAATGTTGGTTAAGAGTGTTTTCCGGTGGTATGAGTCCATTAGGCAACCGGGAGTACATTAACTCGGGACAGAATAATACCAATTAACAAGAAGCTGAAGAAAAATCAATTATCTTGAATTTATTTGAAGTGTTGTAAGAACAAGATCGCTGGATCGATATCCACATTCATAATTTAGCGTGGGGCTTGGGGGTGTTGCGATCTTTACAGATGCATTTTGTGTTGAAGCAAGTGATACATCGGAGACTTCAATGAATAGTCTGTGAACTTCTGAGATGGAACTGCAGTGTGTTTTGTGTGTATTTATGTTCGTCCTAAAGGATTCTGGAACGAACTGCATGTTCCCCTTCAGAAGTAAGTAAGCAGTTTTATTATGCCATTTTCACTTTGACTGGAGATAGCCATGTACTATGTTGCATATCTCTATAATTGAAGATTTTCATTTTAAAATTTTGATTCCTTGTCAGTTCGCTTTCCTGATCATCAATCAGTCGTATCTGTCAGAAGCGAAGCCGATATAACGTCAAATTTGCGGCTATATAACAACCGGTATACGTCCCCAATTCGTCAAACACAGTACAGTTATCCCTATTCTAATTCAACTCGTAATACGCTGTTTTGTCTTGAAAGAAATTCATTATTTAAACCAGGTCAAAGTTCCTCTAGGTCAAATGTTAATCATACCACTCTTTAAACTTACACCACCGCCAGAAAAAGTTGTTCCTTTTCAAACTTCAACACGTTTATTATGTGCACACTGACTAAATCTGACAATGATGAATAAATCAAAGCGTTATAGGTAAAATGGCGGAAACCGCCCTCTAGTCCTTAGAAATGAGCAGGCCGCTGCAAATGATAATGGCCCTCTGATTCCTCAACTACGGGCCATTATCAGTTCTGTTGTCAAATGACGTCACAGCAGGTGAAGTCCCGCTTCATAATGACTTCATAAATCTTGTTTCATGATCTAACAGTGTTGGGTTACCGTTACAATTAAATTTATGATACTCTTTTGTCTTTTTTAACATAAATTCCATCCATTTTAGCGGGATAGGGGGGTTAATTGACCTAGGGCTTCTGCAAATGACAATGCCCTGAAAAAAGCCTTACCCCAATAGTGTAGGGATACATTCAAAGGTTTTGGTGAATCGGTTTCCAAATTGCGACCGTGTATGCTGATTATACGGTCGGAAATTTATAGCATTGACCAATCAGAACTCGTGTTACATACAAAGTTGAATTACAATTAATAAATAAAGATAGACATTGAGTCAAAAGTAGTTGATATTTAATCATATGTGGCCCCGGATACTATTTCACAGGTAACAAAATAAGGGATTCAAGGGGATTTCTTCTACTGAAACAATAGGAGTTGAGTAAGTGGGAAGACCCCAATTCTGCACTTAATTTACTTTCCACGACATTTTCGTGCAATCTTTAAAAATCAATGTATAAAACTTCAGAAGTTGCATGTGTGTAGTGTGCGAACATGAACATGTGACTAACATTGTTCGACCAAAAATCTTGCGTTTGTATTGAATTCTTCATAAACATACAGAATGAACATTCTCATTATCCCCTTTAAGAAGTGCATTATTGGACTTCTTTTGAAATCAGATATCTTGAAAATGATTATACCCAATGCCACCCAGAACAGAGCAGCTGAAATGCAAACTCAACTGAACATAGACG